TGATCGTAACAATCTATTATCAATTTGGCGCCGTTGCCAGTATAGTGTATGTTTGCTAGGTAGGAGATCATTAGAATCGTTAAGATCAAGTTCGTTTTTGTTACACAAGATACTGACATAGTGTTATTCTGTCTGTGTCTCAGGTACTCACAGCAACCAGCTTTACAGATTCATCTTAGATTGGTCTGCTAAAGCCTTGCTGTTACCTGTTATATGCATACACGGTCAAGAGGAAATCAGAATCTCCTTTGCAACGATAACATCGACCGTATCGCTCGCCAACTAAGAGAACAGACATCAACAGACACAATGGCTGGTATTGTAGATGACCAAGACCAACCCAACAACATTGGTGCTGGTGACTTCCCACACAATCACAACCAGCGTCATGGAATTGTTCCTCCACCAGTCCAGAACAACAACTTTGAGATCAAGAGCGGTCTCATTGCAATGGTTCAGGGGAACAAGTTTCACGGCTTGCCAATGGAGGATCCGCTTGATCATCTTGACGAGTTTGAAAGGCTCTGTGGCCTTACTAAAATCAATGGAGTAAGTGAAGATGGTTTCAAGCTTCGCTTGTTTCCATTCTCACTTGGAGACAAAGCCCATCTGTGGGAAAAGACGCTACCCCGGGGTTCAATCACGACCTGGGATGACTGCAAAAAAGCCTTCTTGGCTAAATTCTTCTCCAACTCCAGAACAGCAAGACTCCGGAATGAGATATCCGGATTCACTCAGAAGAATGCTGAAACCTTCTGTGAAGCATGGGAGCGCTTCAAAGGTTATCAGACCAAATGCCCCCATCACGGCTTTGGAAAAGCTTCTCTTCTCAGTACACTCTACAGAGGCGTCCTTCCCAAGATAAGGATGCTGCTTGACACCGCTTCCAATGGCAACTTCCTCAACAAAGACGTTGGAGAAGGGTGGGAGCTCGTTGAAAACTTAGCTCAGTCGGATGGTAATTACAACGAGGAATATGACAGAAGCATCCGCACCAGTACTGACACTGATGACAAGCACCGCAAAGAGATGAAAGCTCTCAATGACAAACTTGACAAGCTCCTGCAAGTGCAACAGACGCATGTTCACTTCGTCTCTGAAGATGAACAATTCCAAGTCCAAGAGGGGGAGAATGATCAGTCTGCTGAAATCAGTTACATTCAGAACCAAGGTGGCTACAACAAGGGTTACAACAACTACAGACCAAACACGAATCTGTCCTACAGAAGCACCAACGTTGCCAACCCTCAAGACCAAGTTTATCCTTCTCAGCAGCAGCCGCAACAACAACCCAAACCGTTTGTTCCATACAACCAAGGTCAAGGGTTCGTTCCAAAGCAGCAGTTCCAGGGAGGATATCAGCAACAACAACCACCACCCGGTTTCCCATCACAGCAACATCAAGCACCTTCGCCCCCAGATTCTGATATAAAGAACATGGTCCAACAGATACTTCATGGGCAAGCCACAGGAGCGATGGAAATCGCAAAGAAGTTAGCCGAATTAAACAACAAAGTCGATTGCAACTTCAATGATCTTACTAGCAAGTTTGAATCACTGAACTCAAAGATACGAAACATGGAGGGCAAGACAGCTTCGACATCCGCTTCAAATAAAACAGGACATCTTTCAGGAAAAGGAGTGCATAGCTCACAGGAGTATGCCCATGCAATCAATCTAAGAAGCGGAAGACAATTGCCCACCAGGGAAAATCCTACTCAAAACACTGAGGACAGTGTGGTTCAAGAGGAGGAGGATTTTTATCAAGATAACGTTTTGGCTGATAAAACAATCGAAGAACCGATTCCTGTAAACCAACCTACTCGATCACAAGCTCCGCCTATCGTTCCCCCTGATGAAAAACCGGTTGCTGCAAAAACCAAGAATACAGTCTTTGTCCCTCCACCTTACAAACCCCCGTTTCCATTCCCTGGTCGATTCAAGAAAGTGCTCGTCAAGAAGTACCAAACCCTCCTAGAAAAACAGCTGAGGGATCTTGAAATCACAATGCCTCTGGTAGATTGCCTTGCGTTGATACCAGAATCTCACAAGTACGTGAAAGATATGATCACAGAGAGGATCAAAGAAGTCCAAGGGATGGTGGTATTGAGTCATGAGTGCAGTGCAATTATCCAACGAAAGATCATACCTACGAAATTGGGAGACCCTGGCTCGTTCACTCTACCATGTTCATTAGGTCCTTTAGCATTCAACAGATGCCTCTGCGATCTAGGTGCATCAGTGAGCCTCATGCCTCTCTCAGTTGCAAAAAGACTAGGTTTCAGCAAATATAAAGCTTGCAATATCTCTCTGATTCTAGCAGACAGATCCATCAGAATACCTCATGGCCTTTTAGAGGATTTACCAGTCAGGATAGGTGCCGTGGAAGTACCTACAGACTTCGTGGTGTTAGAAATGGACGAAGAGCCTAAGGATCCATTGATCTTGGGACGACCATTTTTAGCTACAGCAGGCGCCATTATTGATGTCAAGAAAGGAAAGATCGACCTTAACCTTGGAAAGGATCTCCGCATGACTTTCGACATCACCAACACAATGAAAAAGCCTACGATAGAGGGTAAGGTCTTTCTGGATGAGGAGATGGAATTATTAGCTGATGAGCTA